TATTATTATTATTATTATTTCAACTGTAAAAACATAATATGCGTGGACAAGGACTAAGGAACAATATCAAATGAACAGTTAAAGACTGGCTGCAACTTGTACAGCAACCATAAGTACTAATAGCTCGACTAATAGTAATGGATTATATATATTCAGTAATTGACTACTGGATAATGTTTATATACATGTAAGCCTACTAGATACTAACCAGTACTCCATCCACTTCGTGATTTAAAAAACCATGATCCACTGAGCTGCCTTTCTTGATGTTTCAGGCTTTCAGCCTCCTCAGCGAGCTCCTGAGTGAGCCTCCATAGCTCCTTGACATCCCTCCCCCTTATTCATTAATCATTAATTAAGCTAAACTACTTATTATTCATAGTGTCTATCCCTATGGATAGTTAGTTTCCAGGAACAGTTACACCTAACTCCGGACAACTATCCAGGAATAATGCGCTAACCGGGTGCCACGCTACGTAAGTGGGTGTGGTTACGGCAAACAAAATGGCGGCTTGCACAAGGGACAGTTATGATCTTTCTAACAGCAAGAGAACATAGAGATACTGTCTAAAGTCTTTTCTGGAAGCATTAGAAGGTAGAGAGAACCTTCATAAGTCTTAATAAGAACCCAGCTGTACTTGCAAGGTGGTGAAAACAATTATAGGAATATTTTTACACTGTTACGCTTGTTAGTATTGTCTCTAATAATGTCTATAAAATTGGGCTATCAATGATGATTATTTATTATTATTGTTGTTGCTCTTGTTGTTATTATTATTGTGACTGTATACCTTTGTTATTTTCTTGTCTTTAGTTGAAGATAATTCCTTTTTAACCATTTCAGTGTCAGTAATGTACTCATTAGTCAATTTGTGTGGAGTTTTCTACAAACAATAACAAGTCAATGCACATGCACAATACTGGGACAGGTGTACATGTACATGTACATGAACTTGCCCTTCCTATAAAATACCAATTTGTTCAAGTACATGCACAAAATCAAGAAATATTCAAAAAAAGTCCCACATGTTCACTCCAAGTCAATATAAAAAGTACATGCATGTGTACATATCTTCCTAGAATTTATGATTTATTGAAGTACAAATACAAATCAAGAACCAATCAAGAAAAATTCAAAAACATCGTCCACCTGCTCACACACTCCCCCCTCTCTCTACCTCCCTCCCTTTCTCTCCCCCTCCCTCTCTCTCCCTCTCTCTACTCACCCCAGGTATAGCTAGTGATAGGGTCAATAGTTCTTGAGATACAGTTGATAACAGATCCATTGTGCCAGACACTTCAATGCTTGAGTGGTCCAGCAGTTTATAAAGAGGATCAACCTCCTTTAGAGTAGGTAGTACTGGAGTACACTTTGGTAATAAAGAGAGGGAGGTATGAAGCCTTCGTAACTGGTTATGTAGCTTTGATAATTCACTCTCCATCCAACTCTGGATTTAAAAATAAATAATAGTTATTAGTTATTTTTGAATTTGGTGAGATTATGGGACTCTTTCCAATAGGGTTTTGGCATAGTGCTCGGTTCAGAAGTCTATGCAACAAAGTACATGCATGTGTACATGTAATGTATGTGTGTCAGAAAATAATGGAGAATTCTCTCCTAGCCAGT